ATTAGTTATTTTTCTTAACAGATGAGATGAACAAAACAATGAATGTGTGTAGCCCAGCCCATATGCAGTAATGGAATTTAAAATAAAATACGCAGGCATGATATACAGCGGTAAAAAGAAGATAAAATATATAGGAATTAGTAACGGTGTTTGAGACCCTGATTGGGCAGCTCCATCCTGGGATTAAGCACAGGATTAATTTAGTCCAGACATGTCACAAGTATTACACATCAAATTGAATTATTTAACCATTAAACTACGACCCAAATAGCAATATATAATGCTAATTATTTTATCATCTCCTAAACATACTCGGTTATTCCAGAAATATAACATCAAACGTGTGAAATTTGAAACTTCACTAATCACTTTTTCTTTCCTACTTGGGGAACCTCTTAAAGCAGAGCCCCAGCTCCAGATTTCTTTCTATTGTTGATGTTTTGTTTTAACAAATGGAGATTTTAACCTCTAAGCTGGGTGCTGCAAGAATTAGTCTGAACTTTTTGTTTTTTGTGTTTTTCTTTAAAAGCTTTAGACATAATAATAACTATGTCCGATCTGGAAAAGAGGAGAAGATTCCCGATGTACCATACTATACTCGGGTGACTCCAAAAAAACCAATGACTTATGCTCGACCACCTAGGTAAGTGTACCATGAGACACAGAATAACTGACCATAATCCCATAAGGTTATCCAAATGAAACTGCAGGGTCCTCAGTTAGCCAATACCCTGGTTCTCTCACTGGCTGTCTGTGTACACAGGAAACCAATGAGAGAAGATCCACAGACAGAGAAAGATGTCAATGGTCTTTCTGAGCCAACATCACAAATCACAAATTGCATTAGTTAACCATTAGAATACAACCCAAATAGCAATTCATAATATATAATGGCTTCTTGTATCATCTCCTAAACATACTCGGTTATTCCAGAAATATAACGTCAAATGTGCGAAATATGAAACTTCACTAATCACTTTTTCTTTTCTCAGTAGGCTAGCTCTTAAAGCAGAGCCCCAGACATTCCCCCAGATATCACCTAATCTGGATATTTCTCTAGAAACTGAGAAGGGGAAGAGATGGGAGCCACGGGAACAGAATGGCGGGTTTGTGGAAGAAGGTCTAAAACGTTGCCAAGAAGGCACAAAGAGTCTTTGCCCTCCCCCTTCTGTTCCATCTAAGTTTGCTGTGCTTGATAAAAGGTAAATACTATGAGATTACATTAATCAAAGGGGGGGGGGGGATATTGTAGGTTTTTTTCTATTGTTGATTTTTTGTATTAACAAATTGAGATTTTAAACTCTAATAATATGCTCTAATAATCAACTTTTTGTTTTTTGTGTGTTTCTTCAAAAACTTAGACATAATAATAACTATGTCAGATATGGAAAAGAGGAGAAGATTCCCGATGTACCATACTATATTCGGGTGACTCCAACAATAACCAACAAACCAATGACTTATGTTCGACCACCTAGGTAAGTGTATCATGAGACACAGAATAACTGACAATAATTCTATAAGGTTATCCAAATGAAACTGCAGGGTCCTCAGTTAGCCAATACCCAGGTTCTCTCACTGGCTGTCTGTGTACACAGGAACCCAATGAGAGAAGAACCACAGACAGAGAAAGATGTCAATGGTCTTTCTGAGCCAACATCACAAATCACAAATTGCATTAGTTAACCATTACAATACAGCCCAAATAACAATGCATAATATATAATAACGTCTATTATCATCTCCTAAACATACTCGATTACTCCAGAAATATAACATCAAATGTGCGAAATATGAAACTTCACTAATCACTTTTTCTTTTCTCAATAGGCTAGCTCTTAAAGCAGAGCCCCAGACATTCCCCCAGATATCACCTAATCTGGATATTTCTCTAGAAACTGAGAAGGGGAAGAGACGGGAGCCACGGGAACAGAATGGCGGGTTTGTGGAAGAAGTTCTAAAACGTTGCCAAGAAGGCACAAAGAGTCTTTGCCCTCCCCCTTCTGTTCCATCTAAGTTTGCTGTGCTTGATAAAAGGTAAATACTATATGATTACATTAATCAAAGGGGGGGGTGGATATTGTAGGTTTTTTTCTATTGTTGATGTTTTGTATTAACAAATTGAGATTTTAAGCTCTAATAACCTGCTCTAATAATCAACCTAAATTTGTTTATTTTTTTTTTGTGTGTTTCTTCAAAAACTTTAGACATAATAATAACTATGTCAGATATGGAAAAGAGGAGAAGATTCCCGATGTACCATACTATATTCGGGTGACTCCAACAATAACCAACAAACCAATTACTTATGTTCGACCACCTAGGTAAGTGTACCATGAGACACAGAATAACTGACAATAATCCTATCAGGTTATCCAAATGAAACTGCAGGGTCCTCAGTTAGCCAATACCCAGGTTCTATCACTGGCTGTCTGTGTACACAGGAAACCAATGAGAGAAGAACCACAGACAGAGAAAGATGTCAATGGTCTTTCTGGGCCAACATCACGAATCTCTGGGGAGTACTAGAGCAACGTGACTTACTAGGCATTACCTAATTTCAATAAGATATGAATTTTAATATAAACATAAGCTTTAATAATACAAAATTAACTATATACTGAAATGACAGAAAGTATAATGTAATGTGTGAACCATAAATGGTGTGATAGTATCACTGTAAGCTGTGCAATACTGACTGATAAAGAGTGAAAGAGTTGCTGACAGGATGAAAGTGAGAGGAATATGATACGTGACAAAATGGGCTGATGGATTGAAAGGGAGGAAAGGATATAATTTTTACAATTTTTTTTTTTACTTTTCCTATTTTCATTGCAGGGACCCATTCCTTTTTTCTAAGGTAAAGCCTACATTACTTCCAGAAAAACACATAGCAACTATAAATGCTGCAAGTGTCCCAGAAAAGCAAGTAGACACAAATGGACTGGAAAATGAAAAGAAATATTCTGCAGAATATTGTGATCAGATTCCTATTCTACATCCTGAACCCATCACACGTCTAGAGGATATTCCTTGTCCTCTGCTGAAGTCTATGTCTCTAGAGCCTACAGAGGTTATCACACGTCTAGAAGACAACAATTCTCTAGAATGCACTGTCTGTACTATCGAACCTCATACAAACAGATTGACAGAGGAGATTCCAGTACACCATAGGCACCCACAGTCCTCTTCGAGTTGTTCACCTGAGCTTACAAATCTAGATTCTCAGAACCCAATCACAGTTCATTGTCATTCCGTGCAGTTTATGTCTCCAGAGCCTACAGAGGTTATCACATGTTTAGAAGACAACAATTCACTAGAATGCACTGTTTGCACTATCGAACCTCATACAAACATATTGACAGAGGAGATTCCAGTACACCTTAGGCACCCACAGTCCTCTTCAACTTGTTCACCTGAGCTTACACATCTAGATTCTCACGACTCAATCACAGTTCAGGAACCTGGTAGTCTACTAGAGAGCCCAGTTTGTCCTGCCAAACCACACACTGGTGAAATGTTAGTGGAGCTGCCAGTAAACAATGTGACTTATCACTCTGAGACTAATTTGGATTCCCCCACTATTCAGCCAGAGGGGTTGCTTCAAATCAATCAAGAGAGCATCGCTGAGCAGAACCAAACTGAGATTAAGAATAATCAACCTGAAGCACGTGTGAGCCTGAGCAGTGATCCCGGAGAGCAGCCATTGCCAAAGAAAGAAGACAAAGAAAAAGGACCACCTGGTGAGGCCGGTATAGTACCAATGCAAATCACAGAAAGCCAAGACCTTGCGGTACCTGCACTCCAAGAGAAAACAAATATTAAAACAAAGGTAGAAAGAATACGCTATGATAGGGATTCTTTACTACAATTCCAATCAACCACACTGCAGCCAAAGGACTTCTTCGAAATCTTAAATATCTACCAAGGTATGCTTATTAGACCTCACCTTCGGCCAGTGCATCCATCACAACTTACCAGGAAGAATTGCACACCTATATCTGAAAATGTTTCCCGTTGTGCTAAGGGTAATCACAGACAACGACCTGGAATGGGTCAAATGAGATCTCATCACACTCCTGGTAAAGAACCTCGCAGGATCCTTCAACTACATGAGAACATTACACTGCAAAAATCTGACAAAGCTTGGAAACCTCCAATGAAAAGGGCAAACAAAGATATCAAACATGTCAAGACACAAGAATTGCTTTGCAAAGTCCGTGGTATTCTGAATAAGATCACTCCACAGACGTTTCAAAACCTTATCAAACAGCTGAAGGACCTCTCTGTAGAGACAGAGTATGAGCTGAAAGGCGTTGTAGAACTCATTTTTGAAAAAGCGATAGCAGAGCCACATTTCGCTGTTATTTATGCTAGTATGTGCAACTGGCTAATGAGGCTTCAGGTCCCAACCGAAGACAATCGTGAAATCTGCATTACGTTCCGCAGGCAGCTAATAAGCCTCTGCCAGAAGGAGTTTGAGAGAGGGGAAAATGGAGGTGAAAGAATTGAAAAATTGCAAAAGGAACTGGATGCAGCTACGTTACCTGAGGAAAAGTCTCGATTAAAGGAGGAATTAAGTGAAGCCTGCAAGAAATCACGCAAGCGATCCCAAGGGAACATCACATTTATTGGGGAGCTATGTAAATTAAAATTACTTTCTGAAGACACCATGAAAGACATTCTTAGTAAACTATTGAACAGGAACAGCGAAGAGTCCATGGAATGCATCTGCCTTCTGCTAACATCAATTGGGAAGTACCTGGAAAATGGAGAGTCTTACATGGATGACTATTTCAACAAGGTTGGTAGCTGTATTAAAAACAAGACAATATCTTCACGGATTCGATTTATGGTGCAAGATGTGCTGGATTTAAGGAAAAATCACTGGATACCTCGACATAAACCCCAGGGTCCGAAAACCATAGATCAAATTCACAAAGAGGCAGAACTGGAATCCAGAGGAAAAGCGCAGTGACCCAAACAAACAAAAACAAACGCTACTCCTTCCATGGACACCTGGGTATACACAACAGATGTACAGAGACAAGCCTGCAGATTCATTCACATAAATATATTCAAAATCATTCAGGCAGCGACACCAACTTTTATGCACAAAGAAACACCTACTCATATACAGACAGAGACGAATGCATATTCACGACAATGACAAATTCAGAAATAATGCAAAGACAAGCACATTCCCATACACTCACACATCATTTCATCATTGACAAATAAAATACTTAATGGCATGACAGAACCACCACTATTTTACTAGACACATATATTTTCTATATTGTATATTTTATTACAACAATAAATTCTGTTCTTCTAATTTACTCTGTTATAGTGATGTTGGTTTGTTCTTTGTTAGTGTTTTATTGCCGTGGCTGTTGCTAGGTTTTAAATATACCTATAGATTCATTCTATACCATATCTCATGGACACCATCCTATTGCCTCATCCCTTGGTTTCTCTGTAACTGCATAGTACACACTCCCTTACAGAAAACCTCCAACCACCAGCGGGCTGTAGTGGTTATGGTGCCTGGAGTATCCTGCTGCCCTCACAACTTTTTGAGACAGCGCAGATCCACTTGGGCTCCCAGGAGCTCGTACATTGAGCTAAACCAGAGGTCCCTGGCTTAGCTCATTGGTTGAGAGCCTTCAGCTTACCATCTCAGCCAGCAGGTTTAAAAAGTGGAGTAAATGGAAGCTCCTTCTGCGAGGGTGTAAGAACACTCCTAGCACCATAACTACTGCAGAAAAATAGTAAAGTGCTTCATATATTCCTTTAAACCCATTCAGGGCTGGGGTATAAATAGTGCGTAGTATTGGAGCAAACTAATGCACTGCGTATCTCAGTCACTGAAAGGGTTAAGCTGCGCAGGCTGTTTAACTGTCTCTCCCTTGTTGCGGTCCAGTGGGCATTAATATTAGGGAGTTAAAATATTAATTTAAAGTTCTTAAAACGAAGGCACATATTTGCCAAACATTTTAAGAGTTATTACGTATAGTACGACTTTAAAGCAAATTTCAAAATTGAGGACAAAATAGCTAAATTGGAAACATAGCTGACTTGGAGAATGTCTCCATTTCAGTTTTGTGGCCTCCAAGGTGAATTTCACTTTGAATCCCCAGTGATTCTCACTTCAGTGCATAACCCTGAAAGGATCAGTGAGTGGCAAAAAAAAGAGTGGGGTTGCAAAAGTAATTTCTAGAAAGACCCCCTGCATAGTAATCCATCAGGAGATAGATAAAGAGGGTCCTACATTATACTGAGAGGAGAAATACCACATAAAATATATACAATTGTTAACGTTTATGTCCCTAACCATGCAGTGATAAACTTTATTAAGATAGTCCTATTAAGGATCAAGGAGAGTTAATATTACTAGGAGATTGTAATTGTTTAATGGACATAACGCTAGATAGAAGATCATACACAGTTCTAAAACAAGACACAGCTCTCGATCAGTTCAGTTAGATTTAAAGAAATGACCAAACTAAATTCTCTATTTGGTATATGGAGAGTGTTTCATCCCGAAGACCTGGATTTGATCTATTTCTATAAAACATGTCATACATATTCTCGGATAGACTTTGTTTTCATAGAATGAAGCATAGCTAAATGAGTAACAAGGATTTTTGTGAAAGAATTTACTTGGTCAGATCATAACTTGTTAATTATGGATATGGAAGATGATCTAATAAGACGTCGGCCAAATTGGAGACTAAATTAAAGTCTATTAAAAAAACAACAATAAATTCTTAGGCCACAAAAAACGATTTATGATACATCCAAACCAGGCAGGATTTATTCAAGGGAGGTTATTATCTAATAACATTTGTAGAATAATAGACATATTGGATATTGTGGAGCAAAATGGCACCTCATTCCAGACCCTATCATTAGATGGAGAGAAGGCGTTTGACAGGATCAGGTGGGAGTTTCTAGTAATTGAGGGAACGGCAGTAATGAGATACTTCAACCCAATAGCAAGGATAATTGGCAATGGAGTGCCCTCTAACTGGTTCCCAAGAAATAACAGCACCCGCCAGGGTTGCCCACTGTCTGATGATATTACAATTAATGATATTACAATTAATGTTCTAGCACAGTCAATGAGACCAAATGTAGCAATAACAGGTTTTGAATCGTATCAATATCAATCAAAGATTATAATATATGCAGATGACATTGTCTTGGCATTACAAAATCCTTGGGAATCCATGAAAGGACTAATGAAAACAATACAAACATATTCAGATACATCAGATATAAACTTAGTTGGAAAAAAATCATCTGCCCTATCTAGTAATTGCTCCCTAGATGTAAGATCAAAGTTGATAGAAAACATGGTTTGATAGATAATAACTACATAAACTGTTTGGGAACAAAAATTTGTAAAGATATATCTAAAATAACAGAAATTAATGCATTATCATTATAAAAACAGAATAACATTTTGCTGAAAGAGTGGAAACAAATAGAAACATTGTGGTCAATTATAATAAACTCCATAAAAATGTACACTCTACTTAAGTGGTCTTACTTATTTAGAATGATTCCCTTAGGATTTTAACACCTGTGATTAGATTTAGTGAATATTGCGTTTAGAAAATTAATTTGGTTGGGTAAACGTCCAAGATTAAATTATAAGAAGTTAGCTCTAAAAAATAATTAAGGCTTTTCAAACATTACAGATTATTATAAATTGAATAAGCTGAAATAAATATTGGAGACATTAATTAAGAAATCTCAGGTTGAAATGGGGTATAAATTAGTACAATCATTGACACATAGTCATATAATAATGATATATAATATTATATAGTAATGATAATAAGAAAACTATGTATATTTTAAGATTTAGAATAATCAAAGACCTATTAAAAATATGGAATAAAATTTAAAAAGATTTCAACTTTTAAAAAAAAGTGTTTCTTCACTTCCAACTTCTATACTAAAGGTTAGCATTTTAGATATCAATGTGGAGAAATTAATAATAACCAGAATACATCTAAATAAGGATCTGGACTCAAATCAACAGATTTAATAATTTAATAAATTACAGAGAGGATAAGAGGTTAGAGGATAAGGTATTTTCTTATTTATGAAAAATTATCTAAAAAAATCCCTAGTTTTTCATCTGTCAGATAAGATAATAGAATTGGAAAATGTATTGATATCTAAAAAATTAAAGACACCTACATCACGAGAGCTACATTTTTTTTTAGAGACGAACCACAAAAAGTTTTAAGCCCTAATATTAAAAAATTGGACAAGGTTTTAAATAAACAAATTGCTCACTCATATTGGATAGGAGCACAACATCTAGTAAATGAAATGATTCACTTTCTAAATTTAATAGAGTTACATTTTAAGGTAATACCAAGATGGTACTTGGTGCCTAGTAAATTGAAAAAGATCTGCTCACAACGTATATCGGAATGTTGGCGATGTTATTTACATACCACAAACTTTCTACACATATGTTGGAAGTGTAATCCTCTTCAACTTTTTGATTAACGATTAAGAGCAAAATAGAAAGTCTAATAGAGAAAAAAAATGAAATTTAAATCAGAATGGGTTTTATTATATGTAAACTTAAAGAATCTAACAAGAATATAGAAAGATCTAATGCACATATGTACGTCAGCTAAACTTTGACTAGCAAAAAAGTGGAAATCATATGCTATACCTTGGAATGAGGTCAGAATTTATGCTTTACAGGTGATACTCGAAAAATAAGAATATCATGCAAAAGTTCATTTATTTCAGTAATGCAACGTAAAAGGGGAAAATAATATTTGAGATAGACGCATTACATGCAAAGCAAGATAGCTAAAGCTGTGATTTGTCATAAGCAGTGGTGTATTTTGGATTTGTGCTGCCCTAGGCACAACTAAATTCGGACACCCCCAAAATCTAAATTTGCACCCCAATTCGTGTCAAGGCCACGTTTTTGACTGACAGACACGTGCCCTCATTGATACATGCACTGATATACACTCACTGACATGTACACAGCCATTGGCACACACTGTTTAACCAACACACACTTTCACTGACAGGCACACACTCTCATATACACATAATATGACATACATACACTGACATACACTCACAGGCACACCCATTCTCACTGAAAGACACACACACTTTCCTCAGTCACAGACACACACTGACAGCTACACTCACTCACTCACTCACAATAAGGTGGACAGCCCCAGAACACGAGGCAAACAAAGCATTTGTCTGGGAGCTAGGGGTGGCATTTTTCTGGTGCCCCCCCAAAAGTGCCAACCTAGGAAAATGCCTTGCTTGCCTTGTGGTAAATACATCCCTGGTCATAAGTGCGATGATTATGGCTTACAGCTCATGAAAAACCCAAATCCACAATCTCAGTAAATTAGAATATTACATGCAATCAATAAAACAAGGAGTGTACATAGAACAATATCGGACCTCTGAAAAGTATAAGCATGCATATGGACTCAGTACTTGTTTTTTTGCCCCTTTTGCAGCAATTACTGCCTCAATGCAGCGTGGCATGGAAGGTATCAGCCTGGGGCACTGCTAAGGTGTTATGGAAGACCAGGATGTTTCAATAGCGGCCTTCAGCTCTTCTGCATTGTTCGGTCTCATGTCTCTCATCTTTCTCTTGGCAATGCCCCATAGATTCTCTATGGGGTTCAGGTCAGGCGAGTTTGCTGGCCAATCAAGCACAGTAATCCCACGGTCATTGAACCAGGCTTTGGTGCCTTTGGCAGTGTGGGTAGGTGCCAAGTCCTGCTGGCAAATGAAGTCAGCATCCCCATAAAGCTCGTCTGCGGAAGGAAGCATGAAGTGCTCCAAAATCTCCTGGTAGACGGCTGCGTTGACCATGGACTTAATGAAGCACAGTGGACCAACACCAGCAGATGACATGGCTCCCCAAATCAACACAGACTGTGGAAACTTCACACTGGACTTCAAGCATCTTGCAGTGTGTGCCTCTCCATTCTACCTCCAGACTCTGGGTCCTTGGATTCCAAATGAGATGCAAAAGTTGCTCTCATCAGAAAAGAGGACTTTGGACTACTGAGCAGCAGACTAGGTCTGTTTTTCTTTAGCCCAGGTAAGACGCTTCTGACGTTGTTTGTTGTTCAGGAGCGGCTTGACAAGAGGAATACAACTGTCTGAAACCCATGTCCAGGATCTGTCTGT